AGAAAAAGAGGAAGACCCCCAGTGAGATGGATTGGCAAAGTGGCAGCATCACTGGACTCAAGCATGGCAACAATTGTGAGGTTGGCCCAGGACCAGGCAGTGTTTCATTCTATTGTTCATAGGGTAGCTCTGAGTCAGTACCAACTCTATGGCACCTAACAACAATAACAACCTTCAACTTTACGAACAGATGTTGTCACCTCTGGTTCCAAGTACCGTCTTTATACTCAGCAAAAATAATCTTGGACCATGGTCTTCCAGATGTATTTGCTGGTTTAGATGTTCCCAGAAGACATTCACAGGCTCCAACCTGGTGAAAAGAGCTGTTTCTACTGTTACTGATGTCACCAGGCAACTTCTTTCCTCCTACCAACTGTGTCTGTTTAAGGCTTTATACATGCTCCTTGTTTCTGGTTATTCTGGGTTTTTGTTTTCTGTCTTAATTCTTAGCAGGGGTCTTACTACTTTGTTGCTCTGTTGTCTTTGCCTTTTTCTCTTTATAACTCATTCCTTAATAGAGAAGTTCAGATGGGTTCAAGACATCACTGTCTAGTACAGTTCTCTCAGCAGGCCACCTCTTAGACTGCTGGCCACCTATCATCAGATGCCAACCCTGTTCCAATCAGCTGCAGAAAGGTGATGATGTTACGTAATATGAAATGGTGACCCGTCCATATGAAATCAATCAAAGGGGATTATCAAGTTGGCCCTCATAACTTTTCTTAATATAATGGCACAGTGGAGACTAAATAGATAGCTAAATTCTAAAGTTTTAGCAGATAATGGAATATGAAAGAATACTGAATCAGAGATCACGAACTCTTGAGTTTTGGTTCAGGCTCCTGCAGTATAGTGATATCTTTTTTCCTTGATCTAGACTTGATCATGACTCAGAATGCATCAAGTAGCTGTCAACGTCTATGCAAATAATTCTTTTATCTGTTTAATGTCTTATAAATTATCTGATGTCCAGGTTGGAGTGGGGACACTGCATAAGATATCTGTAAAATCTCAGCTAGCTAATTCTAACATTATAAAATACTTCCTCTAAAGTCTAACAAATAGAAACTTTATTATTTGGCTCAATGTTTTTAAAATTAATTTTTTTTTTTTTCTAACTGGGGTAAAGAATAAATGTAATAATATCAAAATTATCAGATATAATGATGCTTGCTAAAAGTTATCATGTAGATAAATACGTTTATCGTAGATTGTGCTTATTTGAATTATTTTGGAAAACTGCTAAGGGATGTTTTAAAGTCATGTTTGGAGTCACCTCAATACAATTTTTGCTTTTACACAAACTCAGATCACTTCCTGTACTCTTTCGTTGAATTAAAAGGATAGGCATTCATCTGAATAACTTACAGAGTTCTTGAGAATGAGGGGGCAGAGTTCAGAGAGTTCAGACAGCCACCTGGTGTTAGATACTAATCCAGTTGTATGTATGGCTTCAGTAGAATCACTTCCCCAGAGATGGAGTCGAAACAAGATTTAAGATGGAATGACGCAGCATATCAGATGACATAAAAGGAACTATAATTAATCAGCTTAAAAAAAATGTTGCCATGTGGTTTTGACTCATGGTGATCTCATCTGTTTCAGAATCGAACTGCACTACGTGGGCTTTTATGGTTGTAACCTTTAGGAAGCAGATTGCTAGACCTTTCTTCTGAAGTGATTCAGGCCACCAAGCTTTCAGTTAGTAGCCAAACAGTTGACTGTTAATGCCACTCAGGGACTCTGAACTACAGTTGTTTATTTTAAGTGCCATCTAGTCGGGTCTGACTCAGCAACCCTGTATAGCGTTTCCAAGGAGTGACTGGT